ACTCGGTTCTAAGATTTCATTTCCGTTTCTTTCATTTTCAAGTTCCTTTTCTARTTTAGTTTCACGTTCATTTTCAGGGTTAGTTTTACATTCCCTACTCACCTCGAGAGATGAAGTAGAAAAAAGTTTAGAGTCATCCATACCATTTAACCCTACTAATTTTACATTTTGATCAATTATGTCTACATGCTTAGCTACAAATACTCTATTGTTAACTAAAACTCTATAACCTACGACATCATAACCAACTATTACTCCAATATCTGCTTTCCTATCCCATTTACTTTTTCTTTTAATTTCTGRAACTCGAACAAAAACTCTACTACCGTATAATGTGAGGTTTTTAATATTAGGCTTTTCTCCTATCATAATTTCGTACGGAGTCTTGTTTTCTATGGTATTAGCTAAAGTTCTATTTTTCAGATAAGCTGCTGCTTGAACTACTTCTGGCCAAAATCTAGTATGAATTTTCGCGTCTGCTAATAAACATCTCGCCGTTTCCATTATTGACCTATTATATCTCTCAGCTGTTCCGTTCAGTTCATGAACATACGAAGGACATGGTTCAATATAGAATCCTTTTTCTTTTGCAAAGTTGTACATATCTTTATTTAAAAATTCTCTTTTGTTATCGCACCTTAATTTTTTTATTCTTTTTCCGGTTAAATTTTCAACTAGATTTACGTAGCTTACAATACAGTCATAAACTTCATTTTTTYCTTTCATWACWTAAATTTTTGCTACTTTACTATAATCATCGATTAAAACTAGGAAATATTTTTCACCCCTAAACCCTATAGTTTTATGTGGTCCATTTACATCCGCGTGAATTATTTCACCTATGTCTTTTGATCTGTTCCTTTCATTTTTGAATTTAGTATTTGTCATTTTGTTTTGTATACAGGTATCACATTTCAAAAATTCCTTTTCTAAGTTATTTGGCAAACCTACGACTAAGTTATTTTTACTTAAAGTATTCAAATAATTAAAATTTACATGTCCGAGCATTCTATGGTACTTCTCTTTCAATGTCATACCATTAGTTATACTTTCAGTTACGTAATTTTGGCTTCTTCTGAACATAGTATTTATTTTATATAAATTATTTTCTTTGATTGCAACTCCTATTAATTCATTTTCTTTGCTATGAATTTTTGAAGTATTTCCTGACGATATAATTTTCGCATTTTCGGCGACTTTTCCGAAACTNTATGAATTTTTGAAGTATTTCCTGACGATATAATTTTCGCATTTTCGGCGACTTTTCCGAAACTCATTAAATTCCTATCCATTTCTTTGACAAAGAATACATTTGTTAATTTGATTTCAGTTTCATTAAAATTTGTTACAAATTTAGCTTTAACATCGCCTACAATAGTTGCTTTAACTGTACAACAATCTCTTACTTTTACATTAATCGGGTTTTCTAAAGTTTCTGATTTTACGAAGTATTTATCACTATTTATTATATGGTCGGAACATTCACTATCTAAAATCCATTCTAGCTTATTTTCGCAAATGTTTACCTTAATGCTGTTATTATCGCTAACCTCTGCTAATGATGTAAAGATCTTGGGTTCAAAGCGATCTTGTCGTTGTTGATTACCTCGTCCTCGGTTGCCTCTGCCTCTGTTTTGAAAGTTGCCGTTTCGTTGTTGTTCATGTATTTGCCATCGTACATTTCCCCGCGTTTGCTGTCCTCCTCGTGTACCTTTCCACGAATTTCTATCACTGTACTGATACGTACACTGATATTGGAAATGACCTTGCTTTCCGCATCTATAGCATGTTCTATCTTTTCCTTTTTCAGCTTTGAATACGTTTGAATTTTCGTAACTGCTTCTAGGATTTTGATTCTCACTTTGTTTTTTCCTAAATTCTAATTCTAATTTCGATTTAACAAATTCCACTGTTTTTTCTTTTTCTGGTAACGCATCTTCAATATCAACTATATGCGACCAGCTTCCCAGTAGTGTTAACAAAAAATAATTCAACTTATCTTCCTTTGTAACCTTTTCTCCCGCATTTTTAAGTTCGTTTACTAGTTTTTCAAAATTGTTATAAATATTTGTTGGATTCTCATTTTCATCCATTTTCAAATCAAGTAGTTTTCTCTTACATAATAATTTCACTGCACTACTTTTTACTAAGAAGTTTCCATCTAATTTATTAATCATCTCTTTGGCACTTCTTTTAGAAATAATTAATTCTAGTTGTGTATTTGTTACACTGTTCACAATATAATTCTTTGCTTTTATTTTTTTTTTCTTCCATACCGCTTCTGTGATTGTTGGTGGCCTTTCATTAAGTTCAATAATTTCATTGCCTTCTTTCAGTTCCAAGAATAATTTTAATTTATACTTCCATTTTTCGTAATGAGTCCCATCAAATACTTGTAATAGAAATCCTTTGTTTTCGGATTCTCTTTCGTTCGCCATGTCGATTCGATTCTCTTTGCGTTTATATTCTTTAAACGCTATCACAATATTATTCAGAATAACTAACTTCTTGAATATACTTACCTTTACCACCGCATATAACCATGGACTGCTACCATGTTAAATTAATGAGGAAAAATATCTTATTATATGGGTGGTAAAAGTTTAATAAATCTATATATTATATCTATTACAAGTTCCTTCCGTGCCACGTGCTATAACTTTTACTTTAACTATGTAATTCTTCTAACAGAGAGCCCTATACAGCTAATCGCTGTCCCTTATATACTAATCTTACATGGACTAGAGTGGGGAGACTTACATGTGTGCGTCTCTCTCACGAACAGTAGTACACCAACGCATGCTCTTGTGCTACAGCACATACATTTAACCTTGCAATAGGCAATGTACACATCTCAACAATTTCTTTTAAATCTACTGATTCCACTATGACTTATTACTTTAAATCGTCTATGAATCATTACGTGTTATATTATATGTTTATTGGTGACGAAACAATAGACTTCATTGAATTCAAAACATGTTCGTTTGTTAAACAATAATTAAATAAAATTAAGAAGTTTAACCTTTGGTTTTCTGGCCTCAGTTTCTGTAAATCTTTGAACAAATCTTGATGCTTATAAGAACAGTTCCATTTACGAAATACGGACAGAAAATCTTTTGCAAAACCTTAGTTTTAGGATTTCGAAGAGAATCTTTATATTTATTTACTTTTCAGCAGCGTGACGAGTTACAACGCACTCTCGTTAACGTAACATCGTCCCAGCAATTCCTCAGCTTAAAAAATTTGTTTCTCTGATTTTATTTTTATACTTTTATTTTATATTTTAGGTATTTTTAACTATGTTTCATTTACTTCATCCTTTTTTTAAAATCCTCTTATTGACTGGCCTATTTTTAAGGGCTCCTTCTTTCTTCTAGCTCGCGCTCTCCCTTCACATTTATCACACCAATTATATGCACCGACAGCTGCGTTATCTGTCTTTTCGGTGATTGGTCCGGAGTTGCATTGCTTTATTCTGGCGCGTTCTCGCGCTTGGCATAATTCAGCATTCTGATTCTGATTGGAAAGCTGATTCTATTACAAGACCTGCGAGAACTACTTCAAAAAGAACTATGCTCTTGCGCAACGTTACATCATCTGAGTTCGGCCAGCGACTAAGGACAAAGGCAGTCCTACACGTAGCCAGAATTCTTCTGCGTTTTGTATACACTTTGGTACGGATTCATTTTTTACACTTCAACCAGGGTTTTATACTGAAAGGCTTTTCCCTGAAGAGCCAAATAAAGTTCACTATTTAGTACTGGCTGTGCTAAAAATATTGGGCTTATTTTGTATTTATCTTCCTATCCTCATTCCCACCAAATATACAATCTCGATTCACTCGTGACGGCATTTTCGTTCACGATAAGAAACAACTGGGGTACCGATTAAGGCGTCGGTCGCCCAATAAAATTATTCTTAGTGCAATTGTTTTTATTTTCATTATAGCTGGATTGTTATCGTCTACTGGGATTTTGCCGTGGTTTGCTATCAAACCGGATCTCGTTTTGTATGGGTTTAACTGGCACAAGCTGCAATATCGATTTCACCAACGCATCAAGTTCATTAGCAATTCAAAAAACGTACGAAACTTTAAAAGCTGGAGATTGCGATTACGCAATTGTTACTGGGGRAATCTTAAGCTTACTTCCCTAAACACCTCACCAACTGTATGATATAGGTAAAATCAAAGTATACAAGGTATAATAAATTGCAGCTCTTGCATGTACAAACAATAATGCCCGTTTTCTTATTTTTTTTTTATTTCAATAATATTGAAAAGTATTAGAACCGCAAGTTGAATTTTTTCGTAATTTATATATAATTTGTTTTTCTATGCATTCCATTATTTAGGTTTGTTGTCAACAGACGGGGTAAATAGATCTTTTGATAAGAAAGCGTCTGGATTTTCGAGAAGCGACTTGATAGGAACAATTCTCCTACAAAGAGCCAAAAATGCAAAGCGAGTTTATGCCAAAGTCGTTAATCTTTGTGTTAAATACACTGAAGCAGTTCCAAGAAACACTTGTCTATTTTCCACAATCTCAGGCTCAAATAATGAAACAGACGTTACAACACTGCGTTCTAAAACCAAGCGACGTAACTTACATCGATGCCGATGGTACAGCAATCAAATCAATGGATCTCGAAGAATTAGAGACAATAGATCTTATTTACGGACAAGATCAAAGTGTTTCTAATCCTCTTTTAATAGGATCTGTTAAGTCAAACATTGGTAACGCATATCATAACAATGCAATAAATTCGATAATCAAGGTAAATTTTCTGAAAAGACAAAATTAAATCTAAAACAACACAAATTATGTTGAATATTCTATATGTTTTTATTTTCAATATCTAGGTACTAATAGCTATTGAGATCGGAGTTATACCTCCAGATCTTCATTATTCCGAGCCTTCAGAAGAGGCCTAATGTCTTCAGGATGGACGCGTAAAAGTAATTACAGCACCAATACCTAGGACGAATTGGTACGCTGCTTTTAACACGGCTGCTATAAACGGTTCCTTCTATCACATTAGCCTAGAACGTCATTCAAAAGAGAAGCAAAGGGGAAAACGTTCCCCATATAATATGTTTCGACTCTTGTAGCTTCTTCTTGAACTCAGGAAATGATATCATCGATCTTTAATATTGTAAGATATTTATTTTACGACAAAATTGATTAGTCAAACTGATCGTGAAGTATATTATTTTTGTGTTTAGTTAAAATCAAGCAAAGGAGATGAGGAACTAGCTCAATTAATTACTGATTTTAATGAGAAATCATTTCCTTATTCTCTATATTTTTGGTATACAGTAATTTCAGATTCTGAAGCAGCTGATTCAGAGAATTTGACAGAGATTGTGCAAGCTAATATGTCAGCTCAATCTCGAGAGATCTGGTTTTTCGGGACGAGATCACAATGGACTGGAATGGGTACTACAAGTTTTATATTTGAATAAATAAAACAATTTTACATCGTATATAATAAATGTAAAATTCTCTTTTAGGTGAATCGCTTATGAAAATACCAATCTTTGCTAAAGCAATAAAAAAATATGATGTAGTTTAAAGACCTCGAGGTTAGGATATTGTACATATTATATGCGATAAAAATCCCACAATGTACGATAATATTGTAAACTGTTTTCTGGGAATAGCAGCAATACAAGTAATAATATATCTAATGTTTCCTCTTCAACAGTGTTTATTTTTTTTTTCGAATGTATAATTTTAAATAATTGTTACATAGATCGGTCTGGTGAATACTCTATATGCTGTTGGCGTTAAACCGAATTACATGATCAGGCATTCCGTTGGTGATCTGGGTTGTTCCTACGCAGATGGTTGCTTTACTGCTGAGGAAATGATATTAAGCGCATTTTCTCGTGGTTTGACTTCAGTAGAAAGTGATTCGATACTCGAAACGATGGCTGCAGTAGGTCTGGGTTACAAACTACTGCGAAATTTCTGTCCTGAATACATTCATGTTGCTTTTCATAATGAACCCGAAAGTTTTACCATAAGTGGACCTGCCGAGTCCATAAAAGCTTTTGTAAATGAATTACAGGTAATGCTTAAAGGATTTTCTGATAGACATTTAAAATATTAAAATTTTTGAACTATAATTATTTTTTCTTTAGAGTAAAGGAATATTTGCTAAAACCGGGCCGACTAGTGATATTGATTTTCATAGTCGGTACATTTCTCCAGCTGGTCCAAAGTTTTTTAAATACCTTAAAAAAATTATCCCTTAACCAGAATATCGCAGTAAACGTTGGATATGCACGTCTATTCCGAAAAATGAGTGGCATTTATTGAAAGATCGACTTTCTTCACCGGAATATCATACGAATAATCTCCTTTCTCTTGTCTTATCCGAAGAAGTATTAACAATGTTACCAGAAAACGCTATAACGATTGAAATTTTACCCTATGGACTTTTACAGGTTTATTTTTAAGAAAATATATTTTAATAAAAATTTTTTAAATAAATAACCTAATACTGTTAATTTATCAGGCAATTCTAAAAAAATCATTGGACAGTATTTGCAATTACATATCAATAACAAAACAAAGCCATAAGGACAATGGAACTTTTTTTTATCCACATTAGGAAAGCTTTATAATCTTGGGTTTTCAATTAGACCAGGGACGCTCTATCCGAGAATTCCTTATCCTGTTTCTAGAGAAACCCTATCTATTTCTTCTCTTGTCCGATCGGAACACAGTTCTGATTGGTAAGTACGAAATAGATTTATCTTAATTGGATTATATAAACTATTATTGTATATGCTTGACAGGTACGTGGAAGATGGTAAATCGCGGGAAACTCAACAAACTGATGAAATGATTGATTTGAAATCAGATCAATACAAGTTTTTACGAAATTTTAAATTTAACGACAATGTTATCATTTCTTCAGTTGTCTATTTAAAGTTGGTTGTGGATATGTACTCAAATTTAATACCGAATAAGGCTGATAATTTTATTATACTAGAAAGAGAAAAAAAATATTATTGTTCACATTAAATTACTAGAAGTATCTAGTGTACGATTGATCCGGCTCGATGGACTAAACGTACGGTTGTACAGTAGGCATTTAATCGAAAAAAGTTTCAAACAAAAGTTGTGTCGAATTGAAAAATACATAAAAAATGTTTTAAGGTGTATCTTCGTATTTGCAAAAATAAGCGAGAAAATGAAGGTTAAAGGTAATTGTAAGAGAGGGGACAAGCCACGCCTCTTCGTTGGTCTTTACACGCGAGCGAGCTAGTGTGCGTTATCTTGGGGTCTCTCGGTCGTGAATGCGAGTGCGAGTGAGAAAAGAAATTGATATTTCTCTCTTTCTATTTGTTTAAGCGATAGCGATTATTTTTATCGCTATAGAGAGTATTTCAAATATGTATTCAATTTGTTCCAAAATAAATATTTACGAGACAACAAATCTTTTATTTAAAATTTCCTAATATACATAATTTAATAGGAAAAATTTTTAAATTATAAATTTCGTCTTTAAAAGAATACGTATTTAATTTGATAAACAAATAAATTTTTGTGAGGCAAAAAATTTATACCAATTAATTATACAAATTAATTTTATGTCGAGATACAAAATAATTCATTATTTTTACTCGTGACTAAATAATAATAGTTTTCGTTAAAATGGATTATTGTCTTTCTTTTAATCAAGGTTCATTATTTTTGACAATATATAAAAAAACGGCATGCCATAAGCATCAAGATTCGATTTAAAAATGCCGCATTTATACGCCGATATATATATAGATATACATAACGCTCGACATTTGATTCCCAAGACAAAAAATTCTCGCTACCGAATAAAAAAATAGAAAGAGAGAAATATCCATTTCTTTTTCCACTCGCACTTGCATTCACGACCGAGAGACCCCAAGATAACGCATACTAACTCGCTCGCGTTTAAAGACCAACGAAGAGGCGTGGCTTGCCGCCACTCTTACAATTACATTTCACCTTCATTTTCTCGCTTATTTTTGCAAATACGAAGATACACTTTACAGAATTTTTTATGTAGTTTTTATTGTCTACAACTTTTGTTTCAAAGTTTTTTCGATTAAATACCTAAATTTTAAGATACGGCTATTTTTTTACCTATTTCTCGTAAATATAGTAAATAGTTCAAAAAAATTAGCACTATTTGATTCAGCGTCGTCGAATTACTATTGTATCAACTTTTAATTCTCTTAGTCGAAAAAGTTCTTATTTGCCTATTATTGACTGGCCTAAATTATTAAACTTCTTATTTATTTAGGCTTTGCTAAAAAATCCACACGCGTGCCTTTTTATATTCATATAAAAACATATTGTTTCTGATATTTTTTCAGTTATTTTTAGCGGTCCAATATATAATTCATCTAATTTTTTTCTATTAAGTCTGTGTCCGTTTTCTATGTATACTACATCTCCTACGTAAATGTATGTTGTACTCGATTTTTATCGAATAGTTTTTTATTATAATTGTGTGATTTATTAGTGTTCTCATATGTCAACTGTCTATTCTTGGTCCAATCGTCTTTTTTTATTGTTTGTTCCAATTCCTCTGGTGTCGTAGTTGTCATTGTTGTACCTAATAAATATTTGGGTGAAAAACCAGTGACTGTGTGTTCTGTTTTGTTGTATTTATCTACACATTCTCTTTCCGTTTATTATACATCTCATTTTATTTGTTATTGTCTGATTAAGTCTCTCATTTAAGTCATTGAGGAAGGGGGTATTTACTGCTGTAAAAACCAATCTTATATTTTTTCCTTTTAAAAAATCTTTGAACTCTTTCGAATTTATCCCCGGGTACTGATCTGTGAGGATCAGCTCGATGTCATCTGTATCTAGAACTTTTTTTATTAGTTTCATTAAGTCATTCGCACTTTGCGTTTTTAATGTTACAACGATGGCATATCTTGTAAAATTATCTACTAACAAGTGCAGGCATTTTTTTGTCGATCTAGATCCCCCAAAACCACCTATGGTATTAAATAATATTATCTCTAACGGTTTTTTTGCCGGTCCCAAATGCGACATCAAACCATATCTCTCCATTCCTTTGGATTTGTTCTTTATACATATTTCACAGTTTTAGCACAGACTTCTTATATTTCCTGTCAGATTTCTCGCTGTGTATATAGGGCTTATCATTTTAATCATTTGTCTAATACCTATGTGGCACCACTCTACATGTATTTGTTCTATAATTTTTTTGCTCAGATCCTGTGACAGGAAACTTTTTTTTTTCTTATTATTTTCTTGTAGTATATCCCATTTTTCAATACTATATTGTTCTTTTAAGTTTCCTCTATTTTATTTTGTCTTTGGTCCCTTTTTATATCTTCTACCTTTATCGAATTTACTATCTTAAGTATTTCATCTTTATTTTCTTCTGCTGCTAGCACCGGATTCCTAAATAAACAATTTGCTTCTACATTTTCTTTTCCAGGTATATATTTTATTTCAAAATCGTATTGGGACAAACAATATGTAAGATCTCCTAATTCTTCGTCTGTTCTGTTTTTTAAATTCATATTCTCCAGTGGTTTATGATCTGAATATACTATAAATTTTTTACCAATAAGCCAATGCTGCCAGTATTTCACAGCCTCTTTTATTGCTAAACACTCTTAATATATTGCCTTTTTCCTTTTTTGTGCCTCGTTCAAATTCTTTGAGAAATATGCCACTGGCTCATCTTTTCCATCTTTCTTCTCCTGTTTAAGTATCGCGCCAATACCCTCCAATGACGTGTCCGTAAATATTTTGATTGGTAAGTTACTGTCAAAAATCTCCAGCACTGGCTAGAAGCATAGTATTCCATTTATTTTTTTAAATGATTCCTCGCAATCCTTTGACCATACCAATTTTTCGTTTTTCCTTAATAATCTATGTAACGGCTTTAATA